AACTCCTACGAACCCAACTGTCTCAGGCGACGACCCTCTGATGAGGTATCGCACAGCAAACCACAACCCAAACTCTTCTCTTCCTTTTGTCTTAAAGCTGTTTTGAACGTGTCGACCACTGAACTGTGGATTTTTATTCCCTTGTTCCCACCCAGAATAACATCACGCCTGCAGAGATCTCCCAGTGGACCAACCACAGAGTGATGGAGTGGCTCCGGTCTGTGGATTTGGCAGAATACGCCCCAAATCTGAGGGGCAGCGGTGTTCATGGAGGGCTGATGGTGAGAGGGCTGGAGACAGGATCAGCATTAGATGGTTAAACTAGATGAAATTTAACAAACCCAGCGGGGATACAGACTCTGATAGCAGCAAACTGGAGGACGTTTTTAAGTAAATATGATCAAAATATTAATATATTTATAAAAATACATCACATCAGACTGTGTCAGGGTTAGAAAGATAAAGTCCTGAACCTTAAATGTCATAGTTGTCCCTGGTGTTTCCACAAACCTACCATCGTTTATCAATGCAGATCTAGGCAGTCACTGTATGACATAGAAGAGAAATAAACAACTATATAACTGAATCAGATGAAACAATGATTCCTAATCTTTTCACAGAAAAGGTAAAAACTATTAATAGGTAAATTAGGGTAAATGTTTTATCTTATACCCTCTATTAGGAAATACTTTTCAGTTAATGTCCGTGTATCTGGCCTTGAGTTTTAAGAGGGGACTTTGTATAAGATTTTAACTTCCTATCTCTCCTGCACAGATTTAAACCTGCTGTGGAACTTTTGTACTTAACCTCAATATTTTTTAAGAAATAATATTAATGGTATACCTGGTATACAGTGTGTTGGCAAACCACAAATCGTCCAAGGTAAGACGCTAGTAAGATGACAAAGTTAACTTATTTTATTGTGGTCCTGCCTGACTTTATGCTTTTAGAAAGACAACACTACTTTATTTTGTATTTAAAAACCTTCTCTGTTCTGTTTCCCTTTTTGACCTCTCATCATGATCTTTTCTCAAATGTCTGCCCGCTCTGAAGGTGTTGGAGCCTCGCTTCAATGTGGAGGCACTCGCTCTTCTGCTCAACATTCCTCCCAACAAAACCCTGCTGAGACGCCACCTGGCAACACATTTCCACCTGCTCATCGGCTCCGAGGCGCAACGGCTCAAACAGGACTGTCTGGAAAACCCAGACTACACCGTCCTCACTGCCACTGCCAAGGTCAAGGTACCTGTCCGTCCCATACGTCACAAACAAATCTCCTTCTGTCACTGTGGTGAAATAGTTTAAGTTTTACTTTATTCATTGTCCTCTGCAGCCTTTCTGCAGGACTCTCAAGTGACACACAAGGCTGATTTGGGTCTTTTATTGATGAATAATGGCTTGTTGTGTTTGTTGTGTGAACATTACCATATGGGCCAGTGACACATCAGGATCTGCTTCATGTACAAAACAAACAAGACTGGACTGTTTTTAACTGTTGTACTTTTTAGCATGAACGTCATCAAATTTAAAACTTAACTCCTAGATTATTCTGCAAATTGTTCAGATAATATCAAAAAGCAATCACACTTACCAGTGTGTAAGATGTAGGGGGATTTACTGGTAGGAATGGAATATAATATTCACATGTTTTCATTAGTGTATAGTCATTGTGTTTTTGTTACCTTAAAATGAGCCCTTTATATCTACAGTCTTTTGAATCCCACTGAGGACACATGTTAATTTTGTTAGCCATTTTAAAATTTAGTCTTTGTCTTAGTCCTGTGGGCCTGTGTCCTTGTTAGTTTTTGTCATATTTAGTCTTTTTAATTAAGCTTTAGTTGACTAAAAGTCTGGGTGTTTTAGTATTTTAGTCTAGTTTTAGTCATTAACCATCATTTTAGTCTTTTCTCACTCATTAGTATAATTTTGATTAGCATTTTGGTCAGTCTGTTCTAACCAAAATAGAGATATTTATCATTTTAGTCTTTATTTCATCTCATATAAATTGTTTTGTAAAATTTGAATGTTAGCTTTGTTCTCATTTTTATTGCAAAGGAGACATTAACTTACCTCAGTTCCTGGTGGTTAGCCTTGATATGCCGCTCCAAGTTCGTAGTTTTTTCCAAAAATCTTATAACCACATTGCTTGCTGTCCGATATAATGTTTTTTTTGTCTGCCTCACTGTATTTGAAATGGGACCAAGCTCCTCTTTCTCTCTAGCATGTTGTGTGCATCACCAGAGAGCGCATCCTCCAAAGTACAGTAACGTTTTCCTCACGCACCAGGCATTGCCCAGCATTAAAAGCACAGGAAGAAAAAAAATACCGCTGAATGAACAAATTTAGAGGGAGAAAAAATGGCCTGTAATTTTGTCTCCTCATTATACTGAGAAAGAGATTTTATTAACGTTTTTATCTTATGAATTATATTTTAGTCTTTTTCGTCAACAATATCGCATGTTAAATCAGTCAGTGTTACATTGTCGCTGTCTCATCATTGGAAAAAAGGTTGTTGACGATTATATTTTTAGTTTCGTCTGATGAAAGTAACACTAAGCCGCATACAGTAAATCTCATGCCTTATGGTGGCGATTCTGAAGTTTTGAATCTGAAGATTTCAGGCAAATGAAACAATACATGCAAATTAAGAATGTTTCAGCAATGATCAATTAGGAATGATGATAGTAAAAGGTATTTTAATAAAGAAAATCTTATCCTTTGTATGAACATAATGTATTTCAATGTGAAACATGTCTTTTGACATGTTTTTGTTGTAGTCCGTCAATGTCAAGGTCTTTTTTTGATGATCTGTTGTGTTTTTCATACTAAGAGTGGTGAAATATTACCATTGCATTAGAAAATAACTGTAAGCCAACAGTGGCATCTTCAGCTTGTGTTTTGTTGACTAACAGTCAAATATTTAGATATAACTTAATTTCAGTAATGACAAAGTGAGAAGCTCGAATGTTTGGCATTTTTACTATTGGTTTCTTGAAACTGGTGCCAAGTACAGAAGATCTGTAGCTTCCCTATCAGCAAACCCCATAATGTCAAGCCGCTAACTGTCTCCTTCCTCCTCCAGCCTAGACGCCTTTCATTCGGTGGTTTTGGCACTTTGAGGAAGAAACGACAGGATGATGGCGAGGAGTACGTCTGCCCCATGAACGTGGAAATGCCCAAGAGTAGCAGCTTCCAGAGGGGCGTCCAGCTCTACGAGGAGAACATGGACCACCTGGAACAGGTACGGAGATACTTCCACTTCTGTTTAGCTTCTTTTGTTTCTTAAAATATCAGGCAGACTTACTTTAATCACAAGCCAAAGCATTTTGGATGGGATTCATCTGATGCCTGACCCCTTGGTTTGTATATTTTCTGGCAGATGGAAGACTCTGAAGGGACTGTTCGACAGATTGGAGCATTTTCTGAGGGAATTAACAATCTGACGGTGAGACGCTGACCAGCTCGGGAGGGGAGTGTACAAACCTGAGTCATTAGAAAAGTGAACATTTAGTTTAGGTTTCAGAGTTTCCTTCATTCTCTCTGGTTGTCTTTGTGTTTCAGATCATGCTGAAGGATGATGAGTTTTTTCAAGAGATCTCTGTCTGCCCGCCGGAGGTCGATGCGGCAGGAACTCATAACTCTGGCATGTGATTTTAGTCACTGCACTCACCTTTGTGGGAGGAACAAACCGCCAGTCCAAATCCCTCCAACCTCTGTAGTAGAACATGTGAGACCTTTAACAGTATTTTCATCATTCAGAAGTACAGCCATAGCTTTCATGGCCATATATATTTATTGAAGCTTTCCAAAATATAAGTGCATGAACTCAAAATGCAAGATTTTATTGCATTCATGGAACCCCCCCCCCCCCCTTGTATTATTCAAGCATGTTTGTTATTTCTCTCTGGCTTATTTTGGGAAGTGTAGTACTCAAGTTCTCATGTATTTGTGGTACTTCTAAGTGTTTTTTTTAACATCAGTTCACAAAAATTACAGCAAACAAACAGTCTCTTGTTTACCATCTAGTGGTATCTAGCTGCAGAGATAGTTTTGGTTTTGAGATTTCTGCCACTCCACTCTTTAGATTTTTTCCAGAAAGTGTCCTCACACTGTATATAATCCTCAGACCCAACTTGGAAAAGCTTTCATGAACAATTTTCTGTTGATAGGATGTTTTATGCATCATCCAGGACACTGTTTCTGGACAGATGTTGCTGTTTAGGCCCCCCCCCCCAAATGCTGTGAGCGCCACACGTGTTACATTTACCATAGAATTGGGATCGAGACAAATCTGGGAGGCAGGCAGATCTCTCAAAACCTGGACAAATAACTTATCTCCATGGCTAGATGCCACTGGAGAAAGTGAGCTTTTATTTTTCGAAGAATAGTTTGACGTTTCCGAGAATTAGGTGAGAAGCTCGATCCCACTCTCGTCTGCTTTTTTTAAATATGAAGCTAGAGCCAGGAGAGGATTAGCTTAGCATAAAGCCTGGAAGCAGCTTGTCTGCCTCTTTTTAAAGCTCACTAATTAACCTTTTTTTGTCTAATCCAAAAGCTGTCCACCACAAAATAGTAAAAGGCAACGCTCTCCTAAAACCACAAATTTGTTTTCAAATGTGTTCGTAGGGATTAACACAATTAGATGTGTGTTAATTAGTGAGCTTTAGATTCCCCCCCATCTGCTTTTAGTCTTTATGCTAAGCTAATAAGCTCCCGGCTCTATACATGAGTGGTATTGATCCTCTTATTTAACTCTTGGCATGAAAGCCAATAAAGTCTCCAGATGTCAAACAATTCTTTTAAGAAACAGCACGACTGAAAGTAAACATGGAAACCAAAGTCGTTTTTAAATTTTTGGTAATAAAAAGAGAAAATGTGTTTTTCTTGTCTTCAATTTTAACAGCATTTCCCTTAAACCAGAGAGATGCTACAACACTGTTACGATCAAACACAGGTTTGACTGAGTCCTGTAGTTTAAACACAAAAAACAAAGCGTCAAATTCAATAGCAAGAGCTTTATGTTGCATATCCAGACACAAGCAGCAGCTGTTGCCAGACTTGCAAATACATCTTCTCAGTAACCACGCTCAAAACACTGAACATGTTTTAGCAAAATATTGACACCTTCAACATCACAATAGATGAAGAGCAGGTACACCTTAGTAAACACGTTCAACAGCAAGAATGGAATTATTGATGCAATTCTGTATAAATTAAGCAGGTGTGCATAAAAAGCGCGTTGCAAGTGGTAAGGCACTCAGAAAACAGCCAGTAATCCCTCAACTCCTCTGATTTTAAAGCCAAAATGAGGCTATAGTAGGATTTGTTTGACAGTTTTGGAATCACATCCATATCTCCAAGCCAGCAGTCTAAACACTTAAGCTTTCATTCTCCTCTACATACTCATCTTCAATCCCAAACAAGGTTCCCTTCCATGACACTTACTCAATACCAGAATTGGTCCGCGCTGTGATTCTGTTGCATGATGAATATCACGGCATAAACATAGTAAACATAGTGCAATAGCCACTGCAACAGTACAAGTGCTTTAATGTTTTCAGGGTAGATAAAATGGCTGGACACCCTTATACGCCCAAACCTCGACTCCTCGGTGCAGACGGATATTTAGAAGTTGAACCTGCGGCTGCTGGAGTGGCCGACTTTGTCCAGGTTGGGGTTGCAGGCAAACTGAATCATAGGCGGGGGTCCACACATCAGGATGAGAGTGTCGTCACTGGGAGGCGGCAGGTGGTCCCTCACCATGTCTTCACTGATAAAGCCCTGGCTGTACTCCCAGTCTGAAACACAGAAAAATACCCCAAAGTTTAAATACAACTCGTTGGGGTGGTGTAGGCGCAGCGGATAAGACGCATGCCTTTGGTGTTAAACCCCCACTGTGACCCATCCACCATTGTGTCCCTGAGCAAGACACTTAACCCCTAGTTGCTCCAGAGACGTGTGACCTGACATAATTGTAAGGTGTTTTGGATAAAAGTGTCAGCTAAATGCATTAATTTAGTGTAAGAATGTTTACTAGGATCCCTGTTAGTGATGGAAAATTAGACTTTCCATTCAATTTTTTTCCACAAAATACATGGATTATTAAAGGCCGTACTCAACATAGTGTAACCTAAAGTGGGTGCTGCAAGATTTAATCATTGGTCATTTATTGTGTGTTTTAATTAAAGCTTCACCACATTTAAACAATAGGACATTTACATTAACTTATATTTCCAAACACATCAAAAAAGTTATTTTTTTTAATGCCGCAGTCAATGACAGTATCTGTAAATCTTTAGAGCATCTGATGGTTTTTATTAATGGGCTTATTTAACTTAATTGATATAATTTGCAGTTGCACTTGTGACACCTACTGGCGAGAAGACATTATTTCAGTATTGAAAGAAAGTACTGTACTTCTGACTTATACTTTTCAGATAGATATTGTACTTTTTATTGATCTTTTACTTTTAATTACTTAAGATTTATACATGTAAATCCTAAAATATGATGCAGTTCTTTATTGTTAGACTACACCGTAGTGTATAAAGTACCTTAAACTGCCTACACACTGGACAGATAACATTAAGCTATTACATCCAATAATATACTACTTATAATATTACACACTGAAAGGAGAATTTCTGCATAATGAGTACTTTTTAATCTTTTGATACTGCAAGTACATGTTTCTGATAAAACCTTTGTATTTTTACGTAACATTTAAAATGCATGATTTTTACTTGTAACAGTATTTTTGACCGGTATTTCTACTTTTACTTGAAGTACAAATAACACAGTAGTTTACAAACATTAATTATTTTCAGTGATTAATTTATCATTTGGTCCATAAAAAGGTCAGAAAATGAAAAATGTCATTTCTCAAATCCAAAACAACAGCCTAAAACCCAAATGCCCTGAATGATTAATCAATTATCAAAATAGCTGCAGACTAATTGTTTCAGCTGTACATAACATCGTGCTGCACTGCTGCTGTAACAAATAAGGAGCCATGATTGACTGCATGGGACTTGTCTTGAGCCCAAAACGATCACATGACTCGACAGAAAGTTTGGCCCTTTTTTTTTTTTTTTTTTTTTTAAATATCACTCAAATGAGTCTCTAAAAATTATCCAAAACGGAAAACAACACCAGATGCCTCAGAGCTCAGGTGTCAAACATTACTAGCTACTTCCTCTTTATTAATATTCTCCAGAGGACCCACAGAAATGCCACACGAAGACAGAAATACAGCTGAAACGATTATTTGATTAATGGATCAACTGGAAATTAAACCACCAGAATGCACGGTTTAAAATTGTTGAAATCATGTTTACACAAAATGGCCCAAATCACAGGTTCTAGCTTCTAGTTTTCTGCTAGTTTTCATGACAACAAAACTAAATATTTGGGGGTTTTTAACTTTTACTGTGATAAAATAAGCAGTTTGAAAACATCCCCTCAGGTTCTTGGTACTTGTGATGGACATTTGATACTATTTTATAGACCAAATTATTAATAAGAAAAATAAGTGTGATTTATCAATAAGGAAAACTGTTGCGTAAGTTGGACTATCAGAACAATATCACAGGTATAAATAAAAAAGTACCGATAATGCAAAAAAAAAATCACTACTTCCTGTTGACACCTGCTCTGCATGTGTGTCAAACACCCGAGATGTCAGGGAGATAAAGCAATAGTTGTGGAGTAGTAATCATTTACAGTTTGTTCTCAGAAGTTTGGAAAGGTAACTTACCTTCAGGTGCTTTGTCCAAGGTGAACCACAGCTTGAACCGGTCTGGATTGTTGACTTGAATCTCCTCCAACTCTGGTCTCAACAGGATGTCTTTCTCAGTCTGTGGAGGGACAGCGAGAATCAAGTTTCAGCAACCTTATGTTCAACCTCTGTTTGAATATAATTATACAGGAGAACAAATAACTTTAGTCATGGGATCCTGGCTAATGAAACTCACCTGGTTGGCAAACAGCAGGTGACACACTGTCTGATCCTGTGGGTCTTTCATCACAGCTGTGATGAGCTGCAACATGGGAGTGATCCCTGTAAGAAAACAGAGGTTTTGATGAGTTGTTTTTTTTTTGGCTTTAGATAAAGAACCCTTCATTATACGTACAACGTGTGGCCAGACATGTTGACATCAGTGTGTTCTTGAAGTCTGGGCTGTTTGTCATGGGTTGGGCTAAGCCAACAAAGAAAATTTCTCTGCAACACATGACTAAAATAAGTAAGTAAATAAGCGAAAGTTAAAAATGCAACGTTTAACGCTCAGACCTAACGAAGCAGTTCAGCTGTGTTGGTGTGGTTTGATCAGATATGACTGACGGTGACTTATCAACCTAAACTGAACCCCTCCCAATGCAAACCACTGAGAATAGCACACAGAAAAAAAAACAAAAAACAAACAAATTTCTCATGTGAAGGAACCAAAACCGGTTCTAACTTTGGTGTGGGATCTAATAGAAGATGGGCTTTCAAAGCCTTTTGTGCTACAGTATATAATATTTTAGAAAACAGTGTGCAGCTTTGTGTTCAACATGACAATGTCCACATGCTCAAAGCCAGGTCCATAAAGAAATGGTATTTCCATGAGTGGCCTGCACATAGCCATGACCTCGACCCCAACATGAGCCACGCCCAACATCAGTGTCCCACTTCATAAATGCAGGCAGGTTCCAGAGTGGAGGCTGTGAGAGCAGCATGTTCATGTCCAAGGTCTTAAAACAACCACATCAGGGTTTAATTTTCTGGTGTCCACATAAGTGTAAGCTACTACACTGTATTTATGTACTTGAGTAAAAAAATCAAACGTGAGAATGTTTAATATGTGCACAAAAACTGGGCACTTAACGAGATAAGAGATCACACAACACGTCTTGGACTAGCAGCAACGTGTTTGAAGTTTGGTGTTGTTCTTGCGGCAGCACTCTGAATTTTAAGTTTTCCTCACTTTTCTGCCTTCAACAGCTCCCCTCGGAGGTTGGCACTGTACCAAGTGTTTTTGTAGTTGATAAAATGTACTTGGGATAAATCATAGTCCAAGCATAACAACTGTTTCATTTATTATGTTTCACAGTAATTTCCAGCAAAAAGAAAAAGTAGTTAGAGAATCTCAACTGTGCGCATTTGTTGCTTTGATTTCTTTTGAGTGGCAGTAAAACTACAGCTGCAACAATTAGTCAAGCGACAGAAAACATTTCACCAAATATTTTGATAACTGATAATCATTTAAATGTACTGTTTTTAGACTCAAATATAAAAAGGTTTCTGCGTTCCTCTGTTTAATGTGATTGTGCAATATTTTTGGTGTTTGACTGTTAGCTGGACAAAACAAGACACACGAAGACGTGACCTTGGACTGAGAAACTTGAATGGATCGTATCACCATTTTCTTTAACAGAAAAAATAATCTGGTTAAGTTAATAAGGCAAATTATTGTTAGAATAGTTAGAGCTCTATACTAAACTGATTATGTATTTAGGTTTAAGACTGTTGGTCAGGAAAAACAAGCTACTTGATAATTTAACATTTGCAGATCAAATAAATAATCATTTAACAGAGAAAACAAAGTGTGCTAAAGAATTTCCTGGTTAAAAAACCCAAAGTTTTTATAGCTAAGACTAAAAGTTTCCCTTACCGGTCCCTCCAGCAATCATTCCTACATGTTTGGCCGTCTTGGTCACAGCTGGGGACTTCTTTTCTGGCTGAATGGCAAACACACCTGTGGAGGGGAAGTTTACAGCATCAAATCAGGCAGGTAAAACTCAGATTGTATTGTAATAGACTACAAACACTGATTGTTTTCGCATACACATCGGGTGAGGACAGCAGGCTATGGCGCTCACCTTTGCCCTTGTAAACGAGAAGACCACTGGGTCCTCTGAAGTCAATAGTGTCGTTGAGCTTGAGGCTCTCCAAGTACTGACTCATCTTCCCACCCTCAGGAAATTTGGGATTAACGTTTTTAAAGTAAATCTGTAAACAAGAGACACCAGGAGAAGCTGGTTTAGAAAAACTAAAACACCACTTACACATATATACAGAAACAACCAAAGACTTTACCTTCACCACCAAGTCCACATAGCCTTTGTCATCATCACTGGACACCGGTGTATACGGACGCACGACCAGATTACCGTCTATTCTTGCAGACAAATAGATATGCTGTCCTGGAAAGGAAAACACAGGTGAACAAGGGCGAGCCTTAGTTTAGTGTTGATGTTCGCAGTTGCAAATCAGATGTGCTTGATTACTACTAATCAGCAACTGTTTTGATAATTGATTAATTGTTTCAGTAATATGGTATGATTCTAGCTTCAACTGTGAAGATTTGCTGGTTTCCTTTTCTCATTTATGACAGTAAATTGAATATATTTGGGTCAGAGAAAACACCACATTACCTTGGGCTCTGAGAAATTGTGATGGACATTTTTTATACAACTTTTTGACATTTCAAATAGTAAACAATAGAGAAAGATTAATCAGTAATAAAAACCAACCATAAGCCGCAGTCCTAATATTACCATCTTTGTTCAACTGTTTTATAATTCGACAAATTCAAGAAACCCTACTTTACTCCAAATTCACCTCAGTCCTCAACTGTTTAAACCCTGGTTCAACCATGTGAAGCACTACGGTTTATTATTTCTTTCTATCATTTGTGTGTCTAATTTCTTGACAATATGTTTGGTCTTTTGTTCTTATACATGTTAATATATTTGACAGTGATTAGTGCTATGGTAGTTTCTAGAGGTTTAATATTGATGATGACTGCATGGGTGCACATACTAACCGACAGGGAGACCCAGAACGTGTTCAGGAGAAGGCAGAGCAAAGCGGAACTTCCTTGTGTCATGACTGACAATCTGAACATGCAACAACACACACAAGAAGTTGTCAATTAAAAGCATGAAAAACGCTGCACAGAGCAACGGTGGTGCTTGAACGCGCCTGCTGCTGCGTTTGTAAACAGAGAGACAAACTATTTTGTGCAGTGTTTTCTTTTGCAAAGAGCAGGATTTTTCGGTGATATTCAGACTGGTTACCTGTTTGTCCAACAGCCGTAGTGCATACTTAATGCTGGGGTCCTCTAAGGTGATGGCTGCTCTCCTCTTTGAGAAGAAAAGTCTGAAGATCAGGTTGATGATGCCATCAAAGCCGCCTCGGATCAGCTGTGATAAAAGGCCAAAAGCAAGAGTGACTCAGACCACCACCAGCTAGCATTAGCTACCAACTGTTTGAGACCTCTGCAGGGCGTTGTCTAACTTAAGTCAAGCCATTTTTGTTTAATCCATAACAGGAGAAATGAGTCATACAAATTCCTGTTGGCAGAGCTTCCAACTGAACTTGGTTAGGAAAACTAGCTAATATTAGCCTTAGCTAACGCAAAGGAATTGGCTCAAATACAAGAAGTCTGACTGTTCATCATTACGTTATACTTACACCAATGATATAAGACAGCATTTTCAGTTAGTTTCAGCAACTGCAAGGTCGTTTGTCAGTGCAGAAAGCAGCGCCCGATGAGTTTACTGCAACTGTGACGGTACGCTGTCATGTAAGGCTGTTAAGCTAGCTAGGACATATATATACATCCGGTCACTGCTTTTGAAAATAAAGCATTTTTCGAAACACAATGCGACATTTTTAAAAAATAACACCCAGCATACCGGCTATAATAATGGGTATATGTAATGAAAAATAAAGTACAATTTCATTTGTTTATTCACCCTGAAATAATGCGGATTAGGAACTGCCCTTGCATAAACTTCCGGTAGAATAACAACTAATGCTAGTTACCTTGACGAATCCGAAACTCAAACGTCACTTCCACATGTACATTCCTGGATTTTCAGAATCAGATTATTAAATAAACAAAGTAAAATGAAGAAAACATCTTGACTTCCCGGAATAAAAGTCCTTAATTAACAGTTGGTGCAGAAACAAGTGCATGGAGAGTTTTATGAGGCCAAACCTTAGGGAAAGTTTTATCCATCGGCACTAAATGAGCATGACACAGTACTGGCTTTGGTCATTCCACAGCTGAAATGGAGCCTAATTTGATCATGCAGCTTTGATTATTTAAATGTAGACAACAGAGACAGCAGTAATGGACTGCAACAAGCCATTAAAAATCAAACCAGTGGAGCTTAGGCTAACATGTAGTACCTAGTACTTTATTCAAAATGTAGTTTATGTCTATGCATATTGCACATTATACTTAGTACCTTATTCTCTCTTTTTCTATGCTTCTTTTTGTATCTACTTGTTAAGGTTACTTATCGTTTCTATGCATCTGCACATGTGCTCACTTTTGTGGCTTGTGGTGAGTTTTGACTTCAATTTCCCTGCATGTAAAGTTAAAATGTCTCTGGTTATATTTGAAACTTGAAACATTCCTTCTAAGTTTTAAGTTTGCTTAAGATGTTGATATTTGATGCCCGAACTTCGCCATATTTATACATTTTAATGATGGGATACCATTAAGACAGGAAGCACAAAATACACTGAAATCAGTGCCATTTTTTTTTTTTAAAGTCAGAAACTAATGATCTCCAAATGCTACAGAACTTTACTGACAGCTTATTCTAGCCATATTTTGCCTTTAGTCTATTACTTTAGCCTCTTCACTCCCACTGTCTCACTGGCAGGACAGTCTGTCCAAACTCATGCTGTGCTGCCAAAGTGTGCTCTAACCCACATAATGTTATTTAAATCATTTCCAAAGACACCGATTTTGTCAGGCACAATTTTGGTGAAATCCCATTTGATGGAATGGTGCAGCTGTGAAAACATAGATTCTTGGGTTTGAATATATTTCACTCAGTGTAAACCAAACATTATATAGCTTCAATGAAGAGCTGGAACTAGTTGATAAAGAATAGATATTTGAAATAGTCAGAAAATGTGGGATGATATTTTAAGGTACTTCAAGAAAGATGTTAACGGGTTTAGTTTCATTATGTATAAATGTGTCACTGACAGCCATATAGCATGAAATTTTTACAGGATGTTCTTATCTGATGAGACGTTTGGCCTTTAACGCCCAGCAGCAGCCTAAAATCTATAAATCTGCAACTCCGGGGTGCTCTCATAATCAAATTCACTCTCAACTGAGCTTCACATCGATGTGACATCATGCATTTGGTGGGAGGACAGACTCGTGTCCATGTGAGTATTCACTAATAGAAATTGATCTGTGCCCAGAGCAAAATGAAAAACATGAGCCCTCTTTTTTCATGGTTGTGCACGTACACTGTGGTGTTCTCCTTTACATCCTTTAGATGGCAGTAGTGACTTTGTTAACAGGCTGGTCTGGATGATTCACAGCCAACTCAAGACAAACATCGTCATTAAAACCGGAATTTGTCACCGGACCAACACATGATGTGACAGGAGTTTCGTGCAGGAGCAGTGAGTCATACATCTTCTGCCAATCAGTACTGTACAAACACTGTAGTGATAGTAATAACGGTTGTTTTTTAGGCAGTGCCAGCATCTTTTGCTACTTAAATGGATGCTTTGTTGACACTCCATGCATCATAAAATGAAAACAGGACATGATAAGCTTCTGTATCAACAGGAAATAAAACATTTTTATTGATCATTTGTGTATATGAAGTTATATAACAACAGTCAGAAAACTCCACAGAGTGAATCACTACACAAAGTGAAACAAAACTGTAAAACACCTCGTCAAAAATGAAGGTATACACAGCAAATATAACTGTCAGCGGCTCGCCGTCACCGCGAGCGATATGGCAGGAAAAAACACCCCAAACAGTTCTACAAGATTACAGAGAAAATTTCCACACACAAAATACTCAAGCAGGCAGTTGATATACACAAAGGCAACTAGGATCTTTCTACAGCATCAGATTCTAATACTTTACACAGCTTTGTTTTTGAAAGGTCAGTGTGGCTTTTAATCAGTGTCACTGGAGAGAATCTTGAGTTCCTTGTCACACAGAGAGGTTTTTTTTAACAAGAGGAGAATTTAGGGCTTGATTATGCATGCGTACTTTGGTAGGAAATCGCAATAAGAGTAGCGTTGCTTTGTGGTGCAGGAAATGGCTTTTGCTTTGTGGGGTTTCCGCACACCTCGCAATCCAATGGGTTCTGCAATGCTGCTCATTACTGAATTCCCTGATACATTTATACACGTTTGCGTAATTTCTGTCATTTGATTTTCTTTCAACTTTGATCGGATTATTCCTTTAGTACAACCTTTTTGCATTAAAACTAAATTGCCCAGGCCACTTTTACAGAGCCTTTACTTTGTACTTCCATTTTATTCATTTCAATCTGAAGCTGTACTGGAATTCATGAATCTACTTATGTAAACATGTCAAATCAAAAGAAGGGATTGGGAATGCAGCTGCATTTAGGTATATTCAATGATTAGGAAATTATATCAGACAGGGGAGATTTTACCCCAAAGGGGTAAAATTAAATAAATTCATAATAGTAAAAAAAAATATAAACAAAATTCATATTTCTTTACAACAAAAAGTGCAAAGTACATCTAATCTCACGGTTAAAATAATCTACACCAACACAGTCCATACTGTACATTCAGAGTATTCATCTTAAATATAAAAGGGGTTTTTGAATGAACAAGGCAGTTAACAAATAAAAAAAATCCATAATGAAAATTAAATAAAGAGATATAGTATATAGCTGATAGATAAAATGATATTTGCGTCTGAAGAATCATATTCATGTCACTTTATATTCATTCTAGATATACATTTCTGACACAATTATGTGTGTGTATATATATATATATATACACACACACACACGGCATTTTAAGGGGATATTTAAATGTAGAATCTCATGTGGTATTTAACTAATACTCCCTGAAACTTCTGATGCTGGAACTGTGTGCAAGAACAGAAAATAAAACCTGCGAAAAAGGGAGGGAACCCTAAACAGAGGTCGACAGGTGTCAAGCTCCAACCTATAAGCTGAATCTACGTGTGCTGTGTCCTAACCATTTCACTGGAAAGGAGAAACATCTCTCTGGACTGGAATCATCCTCTAAAGTTAGAATATTTTTTCCCCCTTGGGCAACGCCACCCACGTTAACACTATGGGATGAACATATAAGTATTGCACAGTGCTCAACAAAATGCTGTGTGAAGCCACCCGCTCGCTCTCATATTAAAACGTCTTCCTGCCTTTTTTGTTTTTTTTGCCGCGTAAAGTCGGGCGACGCCACGCACTCTCTCTTTCTCTGCGTGTAGAAGGGAAAATGGCATTAAACGCTACGACATCACTACAGAACAAACTGTCGCTACCTACTGATAAGTCTACATCTCTAAGCACACACGGCAGTCACAGTGATACACAAAGCAGTCCTCAGAGACTCATATGGAATGACAAGTAGCTTTTTCATAATAGTGCGATCAACTACACAATAACATTGAAAACATTTAGAAAGTCCTCCTGTAGCTAGCATCGAGTATACTGTATGCAAGAGGTTCCTCCAAGATAAGAGACTTTATGGTTTTCATGGATTAAAACGTATTCCTTTGCTAATTGAACCCGTAGTAAAGGACATGATGGACTAATAGCCTGTGCAGACCATTAACTTTACGGTTATTTAGTGTTCTCTTGGTGTAGTCCTGTGCCAACAAGAAAACAAAAGTGATGTCACTGCTGTTGGCTGAAAAGTGATTTGTCATCATTGCTTTCTTCCTTTTATTTAAGCCGATTTCGGGCTCCCTCTGCAGGTGTCCTGAAATGAAGTCAGTCAACAATTGTCCACAAATGTCTTCCTAAGGAAGTCAACAAGCTAGTTCAGAGACATCCAGTGCAAAACAGCAGCCACATAAAAGTTAAAATTGGCAGTAAAACATGGCTAGCTCTATTGTCACTGTGAGAAGGCAACGCAAAGCAAAGACTGCGATTCAGGGCACCATTGCAGCCAAAGACATTGTTCCCGATAAACCAAAGCTACAACCACTAGCAAGTGGAAGTGTGCATGAAGAGAGAGCCTCTACATAAGTCACCTCTCTGAAAATGGCAGTGTTTAGAAACTCGCTTCGCCTCCGTCAATGTAAACATATACATTGACCCAATGTTTAAACTCTTGATTTTTCTATCTTCTCCTCTGATTGAAGGCAAGGGGATCGTATCAGAAGAGACAGCCCCTGGTGTCAGTAGATCTCCCCCCCGTCCCAGCCTTTAGTAAAGATTGTAAAAAAAATCATGCAGTTTACTAAAAATAGTCAAGACGTTGAATTGCTCTAAAAAATAGTCCTCTTAAAACCAGAGTCGTGACTCGTCTTTTTTTTTTTTTTAATTCCCCCTCGAAGATCGGCCTAAATGCGATATACTTCCAACAACGACAAGGCTGTTCAAAGTAAGCAGTTAACAAAATATTGTTAAACGAGCTTAAGGACACAATGGCTACAGATTGGTGCTTTTTTTCACATGGGGTCTGTTTCTGAAGGGTTGAGAAATGAGTCTTTTTTTGGAGGCAATATTTTCCATTTTTGGAAAAGCTAACGAGCCAGTATAAGTGAACGATGGCCTTTAAAACGAGGACCTATTTCACTTAGAAGAAACTGCCAAACATGGAGAAAGTAAATGCTAA